TGAACAAGAAACTAGAGGTCCTGGTGTCGTACGTATATGGTGAACAGTGTTATGCTGTATAGTGCGGTGTATACCAGCTGGTCGGGTAATTTCCGAAAATTCTGTTAAAATTTGGTGGTATTTTGTGTTACCAGTTAAAACCTTAATTGATGAAATATTGGTTCATTTTACTTGTGAGTCAGTGGCTACTATAGATGTTATACTATCAGTAATACGCTTGTTACGACAATCTACAATTATACTATAATAGTTTAAAAAATCTACACCAATAATGGGCTTTGTTACATTTGCAACTACAAAACGCCTCTTGAATATTCTACGTAAACCAAAATCTAAGTTTAAATGTACATAACCATAAGTGTCTATATGAGAACCGTTGGCTGCACTTAGCTGGTATGTAGTCCGAGCACGACGTTCACGTAGCAACAACCGAGGAAAGACGCAGAAGTCGCTTCCTGTATCGACCAGGAATTGAGTCTTCGAGATGCGGTCGGTTACGAATAGACGACCAGTTGAGTAGGGGCAATCGTCGGTCGACATTACCGATTGCCCTTGGAGTTTTCCGACCGATAGTCGCATGGGCGTACACATTTATCTGCCTTGTCGCCGAATTTGGAGTGGTACCAGCATAAAGGAAATTTTCTGTAGCTGGACTGAGACTTTGATGAAGAGCGACCTTTACGAGTATCTCGTTTAGAGCGTGATCGTGTTCTGCTTCTTCTGTGCATTACAGTAAGCGCTTGCACTTCTTTTCTAAGCGCTTTAACTTCTTTCGCAAGGTAGTTGTATACCGGTTCATTATGAGAACGACTTGTTGGTGCCACCTGGGGCGATGATGGTACCAGGTCGTGAATCCTATCGGATACGTTCGCTAGTGTCTCGATGGATGTATGCGGTTGGCCTGCTAAAAATGTTTGGATGCCAGATGGAAGACGGCTGATCCAAATGGTTTTCATAAAATCATCCGAGACCTGTATGCCAGCAAGACCTTGCAGGTGACGGAGAAACTGTGATGGTTTTCTGTCACCCATTTCTTCGTGCATTAATGTTAATACAAGCGAAATAACCGAAGCCTTTACCGGCTTCGGTGTATTTCGCTTGTGGCGCGACGACAGCACCGCCACAGGGGGTACCAGTCTTCTTCGCACTTCGTATTATCTGTGTGTATTGATCAGGTGTATAGATCGCACCAGATTTGAGGCTTCTTTGGATTTGACGCTCAATTACAGAGTGAACACTATCACCCTCATTTTGTGTATGACCCTTTATGAGGAATTTATGACAAATTGAATTTATAAAATCATAATTATGCCCAGCAAAAATGTATACTACGATCAAATAATGATTTTTCTGCTGTCCGCAGCAATTATCTGAGTAAAATATCAAATCCGATTTTGAATCAAGTTTTTTGGCGGTCTCTTCCAGGTTTTCAATGTATTTTAGTACACAGGTACCAATTTCAATAGCTCCACGTTTAGCTTCGCCTTCGTGCCATACGTAACAGTTCACATCTTTGGTTTTAATATCATAAATAGTAAAATTATAGCAGTTCAACTTGGATAGGTAATAAAATGTCAACGTATCACCTTTAGGACAAGGCATTGCAGCTTGTAGATCATAAACGGATACTATACAATTGTCCGGAGTATAGTTTTTGTCCTCATCTTTTTGATCCCTTGCTAGTTGTTTTTCCTTTAGGTGAAGTTCATAATCATGTTTCATAATTTGTTTGTCTTCTTCAGTCGCATTAGTATAATTTGTACAGGTTTCGCATTGGTCTTTTTTAGGTTTGAAGAATGCCATATTGTATTCGGTACAAAATATATTGTAATATGCTAGATAATTACCAAAAGGTAAACCTTTACTTTTACATTCAGTAACATAGTCTCTATGTAATGCCTCATTTACATTCAGCCCCTGCCACTGCTCCTCGCGCTGCCGGCAATCCTTCGCTAAATACTGCCGTAGCAGAATCGCGGGAAGTGTGTATTCACACTCTGCCATACCACTCACATCGCTTTCGGCTTTCAACTATTGCAGACGTCGAAATAATTACAGCGTCCGCGCTGTGTCTTCTTGCTATACAAAATTATGTTAATAATTTAAAAAGATTTCAAATTAAAAAGAAGATAGTTAGAAAATTTATTTGCTTAAAAACATGGTACATAAGATGATCAATAACGTGGAACTGACATGTTTTGCCATAATTGGCGTGTAAAAATGATATGAAATACAGCTAATTACATAAACCCAATGTTACATTTTAAAATTATTGTATTGCTTAAAAGTTAGGTAGAAACATTCTTTTTGAATTCAAATATAGGTATTATGTACAATTAAATACTTATACAGATCCACTCTATTTGAATTCTTATACTGTAAATTGTTCAAAAATTATTAATTGAATTATTACATTATTGTTACATAAATAATATTAAATATTATATGAGATTAGTTAAGCTATTATTATTTTAATAATTACGCTACAGTATTAATTAATTCATAATTTTAACTACAATAAAATTATAATTTAAAAATCTCAGGCTATTATGCAAATATTTCCATTTAACTTATTTCACATTTTAATAAATAAATAATCAATATGAGTTACTAATCGTTGTTAGAAACAAAATGTCAATGTTCATTAATTCCTTAAACTAAATTTTATATTAATATAATAAATTTAGATTAGAATGGCTCTCCACCACCTTAAAAACGGCAAGACCCCGGGCGAGGATGGAATTACAGCGGAGCTTCTGAAAGCGGGTGGAACACCGGTACTTGAAGTCCTTCAGAAGCTCTTCAATTCCGTCCTCCATGGTGGCACTACTCCAGAGGCGTGGAGCAGAAGCGCGGTGGTCTTGTTCTTTAAGAAAGGCGACAACGCTCTCTTGAAGAACTACAGACGGATTTCCCTTCTGAGCCGCGTCTACGTGCTGTTTTCGAGAGTCATTACGAATCGTCTCGCACGCAGACTCGACGACTTCCAGCCTCCCGAACAAGCCGGTTTCCGAAAAGGCTTCAGTACCATAGACCACATACATACCCTTCGGCAAATTGTACAGAAGTCCGAAGAGTACAATCTGCCACTTTGCCTGGCGTATGTGAACTATGAGAAAGCCTTTGATTCCGTCGAAATTTGGGCGGTGCTACAGTCTCTTCAGCGGTGCCAAGTTGACTGTCGGTATATCGAAGTGCTGAAGTGTTTATACATAGAACCAGAGTACGAAAGCTATCCAACTGCAGAGAGGTGTAAGACAGGGTGACGTTATTTCCCCGAAACTCTTCACCGCTGCATTGGAAGACGTTTTCAAGCTACTGGACTGGAAAGGATACGGTATTAACATCAATGGCGAGTACATCACTCACCTTCGATTTGCCGACGATATAGTCCTTATGGCAGAATCGCTGGAGGACCTTAGCACTATGCTCAATGACCTCAATGGTGTACGGAAGACAAACAAACAAACAAAACAAAAAAAAAAAACAAAACTGGCCGTATGAGGACGCTCAAGGTCGCTCAGCGAGCTATGGAGAGGGCTATGCTCGGAGTGTCACTGCGTGATAGACTCAGAAATGAGGATATCCGCAGTAAAACCAGAGTGACCGACATAGCCCAACGGATTAGTAAGCTGAAGTGGCAATGGGCCGGCCATATAGCTCGAAGAACCGATAACCGATGGGGAAGAAAGGTTCTCGAGTGACAGCCTCGTACCGGTAGGCGTAGTGTAGGGCGACCCCCCACTAGATGGAGTGACGACCTGGTAAGACATGCAGGAAGTCGATGGATGCAGGTGGCTCAGGACCGTGCTTTGTGGCATTACTTGGGGGAGGCCTATGTTCAGCAGTGGCCTTGTGAAGGGCTGTAATGATGATGATGATGATGATAATAAATTTGACGAATTTATAATTAATTATGTACATAGGTACTATGTTATCTCAAAAAGAAAATTCGTATTCGTAGAAGATGATGAATTGTGGTTTTTATCGTTGAAATCCCATATAGTTTTTTCTGATTCCAGCAGTTCTAAAAACTTTATTGTATTTTCATTATTCCACTCGAAAGGCATTTTGGTAGATCTTACTTATTTAATAACAAGACGGCACGCACGTCTGTTCATCCAGGCGCTTGGCGCGAAGTGAGCGATGGAGCTGAATGCGAACACTCACTGCCGCTCGCGCTGCCCGTCCTTGGACTTCCGCGCGAAAAACCGACATTTGAGCGATCGTCGGGCAGTGGCAGCGGCAGCGGCAGTGTCAGCGCGAGTAGCCCGTTTACATACTGCCCTGCCCACTGCCCTGCTCACTTCCCTGCCCAACAGGGCTGAATGTAAATGGGGCATAAATCAGCTACAGTCTTGCCGCCTTCAATGTATGTTCGCTTGGTGTCTGCTCTGCAGTAATGACTATCAACTTTCGGGATAGAATCTAAGTGTTTTCTTATGCTATCTTTTACCAAAGGATCAAGATGAGCATGGTTCTCGCGTTTGCCTCGACGATCTTGCTCTAAAATAGCCATGTCTGACGTTTTATCGTTAACAGTCTTAATAACCCTGTCGTTAATATCAAGAGTGGCTTTGAAATAAGTTTTACAAACTCGAAGTTTATTATCCCCTATTGAAAGATAAAAAGCAAAATTATTTCCTCGATTACTGTTGTGTACTTTGTACGAGTACCTCAGTTTGATAACGGAAATATGTCGCATAATATATTCTCGCTCCCGTTCCAAGTCCCCCATATCCCAGTAGTTTTGAAATATCATTTTTCTCTGTAATTCTGTAATGTTTTCCTTACACTTAAATTTGCATTTATCTCCGCATAGAGTTGTCAATTGTCTCTCGGGAATTACTTTGTTTTTTTTTTATTCACGTACGATTTGCCATGATTTCTTAAAATTTTTGCTCTTACAGATATCCAGTTCTTAGGGTTTGCCTTGCGTTTACGTCCAATTTTTTTCGAAGGTTCTGTATTTGGTTCTGTATTTTTTTCTGTATCTTGTTCTATACCTTTTTCTGTTTCTTGTCTTCTTTCTCTACCATTTCTATACCCTGTTCTGTTTCTTGTTCTGTAACTTGTTCTACATCTTGTTCTCTATCTGGTTCTCTATCCATTTCTATTACCTGTTCTGTTTCTTGTTCCGTAACTTGTTCTCTCTCGGGTTCTCTATCCACTTCTATATCCTGTTCTGTATCTTTTTCTGTTTCTTGTTCTGTTTCTTTTTCTGTACGTTGTTCTCTATCCATTTCTATATCCTGTTCTGTATTTTTTCTATTTCTTGTTCTGTAACTTGTTCTAACTCTTATTCTCTATCTGGTTCTCTATCCATTTCTGTATTTTTTTCTGTATCTGGTTCTGTAACTTGTTCCTCAACTCTTTTTGCATTCTCTTCCGTGTCTGAAGAATCGCTAGACGATGATGAACTGTCAGAAGAGTCCGAAGAAGAGCTTGAACTAGATGAACTACTTTTTGGTATATACGATATTTTTGAAGGACCTGGTTTGGGCTTGTTTGAATAATTAATTTTTTGGTGAGAATTGGGCGTACTAATTTGACTTGAACTTGAATTTTTAGTCGCAACTGAAATCATGGGATCGATGTTTTCAGCAAACTTATTTCTTTTAAATCGCTTTGCGCGTTTCTTACTATTTAAGTCACTATGGTCAAAATCGAAATAATAGTCATCAGTATTTACGTAATTTGGGTCTTTAACGCTGTCATCTGAACAATAGTCATGTACTTCCTGGTTTAGCGGATCTTCTGCATCTAGAAGCTTGTTGTTTTCAGACGGTAAAGGAGATAGTATCACGCGTTCCGTTTGACCTATTCTGTTGTCTGTTTGATTGTCCTGTAACATAAACAAAACATGAAAAATTATCCAATGAAAAATGAATCAAAAACTTTAAATTAATATCCTTCTCGATAGTAATTGGTAATAAATATTATTATTATTATAAAATCAAAAAATCCAACTACCTACACTTCATGTAAAAGTACGTACCACTTCTTTTATTCCCTTGATACTCAACGGGACATTGATGTTCCGGAACAGCTTTAGTGTCCGTCGGTTTGCCACTAAAATAAAATAAAACAATTAAAAGTTAGGTAGGTATCTACCCGCACTTTCACACAATTATCTGATTCTGATTCCTATCAGACCTAGATTCTATCCACGTACCTATCTACGTACCTACCTAGAATACCTACTCTTTATAAAGTACCTAAGTACCGTAGTAGTAGAATCTAGGTACCTAGATTATAGCTACCTAGAATAGTAGAGTCGATAGGTAAAAAGAATACTAGGTATCTACTAAAATATTAGGTTCTGTAAGCTCATTACGATTAGTTAGGTAGGTACTAGTATCTGACATTTTAGAAAAATTAAATGCGTTTTCGAGTTGCCTTTTATCTGAAATACTGTGTCAAGTACAAAAATACGACAGATTGTTGAACAGATAAAGTCTTATTACGAAAAATACTATTACAATCACGAAATAATTTATCTAGAAAAACGTTTTAATTTTAATTGTACAAATACTATCGACCCTATTTTTTATTATAAACAGTAATATCTAATTTTAATACATTTAAGTTATACTTACTTTTTGTAGAACAACGTAGTAATTCCAAATGATACTTTGTTTATGAGAAGTGTCTAAAGGTTCTTGTAGATTTTTTTAATCAATAATGTCACATCTCGAAGTAATGCAGTGTTCTAGATAAATGCGCACTCAAAATTTGTATTATTTTGTAATATGACCATATTCCAGAAAACCAACCGAGTGTTCACTTCTAAGGACAAGTTGCAACTGGCGATGCAACGCTGTCTATAAAAAATGGCTGCCGAACCAATAGGATACAGTCTTTCGGTGGCGCCACGGCCGTAAATGTTGTTATAGAAATATGATCTTAATTGTGAATACAAAACAGATCATTTTACGTTGAATGTTGTTGAAAACTTAATTTTGTAGTATTTGGTAATAATACGCTATTCTTCCAAAGCAGCGATGTATGTTTTTTACTTATAATAAGCTTTTTCATCTCATTCCCACCTGGTGATGAGTGGTGATGATGCCCTAGATGGTAAAGCTAACAAAACTATTCACCCTTATATTGAAGACACTCAAATTGTAGTCTATAAAAGTTGCGAAAATATTCCACTCCTTTGCTATAAAAAAAAAATATATATATATATATATATATATATATATATATGTTGACCTGCAGAAATCCAACAAATGTTTTGCAAGGCAGTGGCAGATTATCGAATTTGTCGGACTATAGAATACTGCTACAGCCCTCGAGTCCAGAACTTTTTGAAAAAGAGTACCTTGTAATCCGACAGATTACATATAAAATATAAAATAATAAAAAATGAAGATGTCATGTAATGCACATTGAATATGTAAACAGTAAATAGCTAGGCCCTACCATTGTCATATTTGAACTGAGATAATATGTGTCAAGTTAGATTTGTGGTGACGCAAACTATTTGCAACTTCTTTGTTCCCATATTCGCGAAGGACACCTCCCTCGTGGCATGACTCTAATCTACCTACAAGTAAAAGACATGTCGCATTACAAGGGGGAACGGATTAGTCAGGGGCCGGATTACCGGGGTTACCAGTACAGTGGTACTGGTAACTCACCAAACATGGCGGAAAGCATATTCATTCAATTTATAAATAAGTTGCCAGGAAAGCTTACAAGACCCATATGCAGTATAGAGCCTATATCAGCAGGACATCACACTTACTCTTTATTATATATTGCAACTCAAAGAGGGGATAAAATTTTATTAAGTGGTATGACTCTTCAGAGGAACTCTCTAGGGTAGGTAGTATCTACCCTCTCACCTATTCCTGCCACCAGTGGTTGCACTGCAGTGTTCCTTAAAGGGTATAGAACCAGTTACAGACTTAATCCTACCTTAATCTCAGAGGTTACAATGCATCTATAGCTTTTTTTTAGAAGTTGGTTACAGTTGTCCATGGGCTGTAGTTTACTGTGTAGTGGGGTGTGAGAATATCCACTACCCCATGTCAACCGACAGAGGGAAAGAAACATGGCAGCAGCATCTTGCTAATAATTACAAAAAATTAAAAAACTGGTTACCTGCATGCTTGCCAAGCGTGGCAACTATGGCAATTATCCCCCCTATGTAACAATCGGTAGGGAGGAATATGTTTAGTAGTGGACTTTAATAGGATGTTCAGTAACAGTATGGGCTGTAGTTACCATCAACTGGACGGTAAGTTTGTTAAACTGAAGTTTGTTTACTGTAATTTTATAGATAAAAGAGTTGATTTGTTTGGGATAAAAAGAAAAAAATCAAGATGTGATAGTAATTACACTCAATACTTTTGTTTTCAATGCAAAAGTTCAATTTGCCTATATTAACAGGCATTACAGGGGAAACTTTGTTTTTTGTTAGCATTTTTTTAAAGTAACTACATACTTTGTGATGTTAGTATGAGTTTATTATAATACCTATAATTTATAAAAATTAGTAATGCATCAACAAGTATGAGTTGATTATTGATATTTTCCAACAAGCACGTGTTAATTGTTCTTTCTTTAACACAATTTTATTAGCTTCGTGTGTATCTATCTATCTATCTGTGTAACAGTATCTTTTAAGGTAATTTTCACCAACTTGTAGATGGCCGATTGACTAGAAAATTAGCATATGTATGTGTACCGAAGACAATACAATAATTTCATAACTTTATCCTAGTATCCTTATCAGGATCACTTACATAATTCTTTCTAGAATCATCACAGCTCGTAATTAATGCATGTTTATTAGGTTTTCTTAAATTTTAATATCAGTCTGATGACATTGGCATTGGCATGTATATATAAACAGTATGGTATAGTAATAATAGACTTACATTATAACATATTAACTTATGATATTAGTATATTATACTGATACGGTGAGAAGACACACAGAAAGTCTGTGGATACACAGAAAAAGACTGAACTGACAGAAGACAGAATGCTTTGGCATTTTATTGGAGGCTATTGCCAGCAGTGTGCTTATGCTGGGCTGTACTTGTAACTATGATGACAGGACGGGAGAAGTCCAAAATGAGGCAACATGAGATAAGATAAGACAATTATTAAATGACCCAGTATAATTATAGGTGTACTGTAATAGAAAATGATTAAAAATTAAATTGATTTATTTACTGAATTAATCAAAAAACTAAAAAAGATAAGTTTACATTCTGAAGTTGCAATTTTAGATGTTGTGAACATGCTCAGCGGTGAAGGAAAACACCATGAGGAATCCTGCATGGCTGAGAAATTAAAAAAAAATTCAAAGATCTGTGTAGTTTACCAAATGTCCTAAAGCCTCCCAGGAATGAGAGGACTGTGCCTATCTGTGAGACGTATATAATTCTTTACTTTATATATTCTTTTACGGATGTATATTATAACATGTATGTGTATGATTTTGCTTAATTTATTACTGTTAGTTGTGGATGCTCAGGCGTTAAGTGCTCTTTGTAAATTTCATGGTGCTCTGGTTCCTTCCTCACCTGCACAAATAAGTATTGAGCGCTGATTTAACATATGTTTGACTGTGAAGAAAACCTTCACGAGGAAACCTACATGTCTGTGAAATAAAATATTTTGGGGACATATGAGGTTCCCCAACGCACACTGATATCAAACTGACACTAAATTGCTTCATAACTTTTTCAGAAATGAGACGAGTGCCATTGTCAGTAGTGAGATATACTGTAACTACACTGTAAATTTACTTCACTTTATTACTTTTATTTATTAATTTATACCTTTTTATTAATTAAGATCTATTTATATAGGTTAGATTGTTATGAAATCAACTTTGTAGCTACCATAAAGTTATTACTATAATTTGCCATATTAGATTGTACTTATTGTTTTTTACTTTAATTTCAGTTAAGTTAACTTCAATTGGTGAGCATAATGGAAGAAATAATCTAATGTTAAAAATAATTAGTAGGAGGGGTTTCTGAAAATATTTTATTAAAAGTAATGCTGCACTAAATAGCACTGATACAGTAGACCGGATCCGGCCCCTGTCTAATCTGGCACCCCCTGTAATCCGACACGGTCTATTATTTATTATTGAATATTTTTTTGACAATCTTTGCTAATGCATGATTAAACAAGTTATAACTTGTATGCACCACCACTATTGTGTTCGGCGCGTAGGGTATTGTTTTGATTGTGATTGTTTAGTTTGAATTTGAATACATGTGATGAGGATAGCGGTGCGGCCTAGCGTGTGTTCAGAGAAGAGTACATATATATAACATATAGAGTCTTATCATTGGATCTGTAATTTGTCGGATTACAAGGTACTCCTTTGTAAAAAATTCTGGACAAATTCGATAGTTCGACACTGCTCTGCAAAATGTTTGTCGGACTACCGGGGGTCCACTATATAGTTAAAAATGGTCTATTGAAGAAAAAAACCCGCACATTAGCTAGCTTGATTGCTTAATTTATATACTTACGGTCTTACTCATAAAAATATGATAATTTTGCACTAGGTCAACCATCACTAATTCTGTGATGAGGTCCTTACCTATGAAACTGATGTTCTATTTTAATTAATACTATTAATACTCGGACAGAAAACTACTGGGCAGAAAAGTAACCCATCTAGTTTCCTTTTCTGCCCAAGAGTCCTTCTGTGTAGGACCCTCTCACCTATTTCTCATGCCAAGTATCAACTAATATGAAAAATTCTGTGTACCTGATCTAATAATAGTAATGTTACTTGACTCTATAGAGTCAGTAATTCCATCATGATGCAATGTATATGCTTTTACAATAAAGTCTCAGAAAATATGTAGC